CTGGGCCAATTGGCAGCATCAGGATGGATGGTGAAGAGATTGAGATTGTTCACAGCTTTAGTTTGCTTGGCTCCACAGTCAACATTCTTGGCAACAGCAGCCAGGAAATTAAAAGACGTTTGGCAATGGGAAAGTCTGCTGTTAGGGACCTCTCCAAAGTATTGAAGAGCAGTGGTGTCTCTCTGGAGATTAAGGTGCGTCTGATACAGGCCATAGTCTCTGCAATCACTTGTTATGCATCAGAGAGTTGGACAATCACTAGGGAGAATAGAAGGAGAATTGATGCCTTTGAGCTCTGGCGCTGGAGAAGAGTACTGAATGTACCATGGACTGCTAGGAGAATGAACAGGTTTGCCCTGGAAAGGGTGAAGCCAGGCTGCTCCTTGGAGGCAAGGATTTTGAGACTTTGTCTGACATACTTTGGACATGTTGCAAGGAGGGGCCGATCCTTGGAGAGGGACATCATGCTTGGGAGGGTGGAGGGACAGCGCAGGAGGGGAAGGCCCTCTACGAGGTGGATCGATTCAGTGACTGAGGTGATCAGGATGGGAGTGTCAGAGGCAGTGCGAATGGCACAGGATTGAGCAGAGTTTAGGGCTGTTGTACATAGGGTCGATATGAATCGCAAGCGACTCGACGGCACATAACAACAACAACAACAACAACAAAGCAGCCACAACTATCAAGAAACAAGAGCTAGAGGTGAAACACATTCTTTGGGCCCAGGGTCCAAAAGGAGTGAGAACTTCTAGACTCCGGGGAAGCGTGCTGTTGATCCGCATGAAGTTCATCTAGGAGCAGAGGCTGAAAGAGAACCCAGACTTTCCTCCAGGCCCGCCAGAGAGAGCAAACTTTCTCCTAAAGCTGGAACCTTGAATTTGGACCGCTAGTTTCCAAAACAAAGGGTATGGGAAGAAATGAAATCAGAGCTGGAAGCAAGGAGAGTGAAGCATCCCTGCTGAAGGACGTCATGCTTGGGAAAGCAGTTTCTGCTGTTGCTTTTAGGTTGTTGAGTACACTACGACTCACAGTGACCCTGTCAATAACAGATCTGAGCCTTGCCCTAACCTGAGCCATCCTCATCGTCTCCAACATGCTGGAGTCATTGGTACAGTCACTGCGTCGAGCCACGTGGTGTAAAGCGTTTATTGTTCAAAACGGCATCTGTAGCCATTGACTTTGCCGCAGGGATAGAGAGAAATATGTGAACAGGGCACGTTCCCCTTCCCACAAGGGGATGGACTCGTCTTGCCATTACATTAAGCAGATCCAGCAGCAGAATATGAGGACGTTACCACCAGCAAAGAAGCAAGACAATGCAGAAACATCCTTGGAGGCCAGAGATTCCTGCACCAGCCACACCAGGGTCAACAGAAATACCAGCCAAAGCGGGCACAGCAAAGAACTAGAGACCCCACATGAGATGCAGCTGATCTTGGGACCGCTACCCCCCAGACAGACCCAAAGCTGAGAGACTCTGCCTAAGGATGACCTCGGGGAGAGTGGGGAGATCCATAACTGGTAGAACTAAGAGCTTAAAGCCTTGAGGTTGAAGGCTGGGGTGACCGAGAACACATGTCAGCAGCTGTCCTAAGTGATTGTATTCTGGTTATTGTTATGTTTGTGTGCTTGCGATTCATAGTGACCCTATGTACAACAGCCCTGAAACCTGCTCTATCCTGTGCCAGGCTTATTATCTCTGACACACCAACACTCAATACCCCAGTCACTGAATCAATCCATCTCATCGAGGGTCTTCCTCTCTTGCGTTGTCCCTCTACCCTTCCAAACATGATGTCCCTCTCCAAGGACTGGTCCCTCCTCGCACCATGTCCAAAGTATGTTAGACAAAGCTTCAGAATCCTTGGCTCCAGCCAAGGAGGCTTGGTTTCACCCTCTCTAGGATGAATCTGTTTGTTCTCCTAGCTGTCCATAGTATATTCAATTCATCTCCGGCACCACAGCTCAAAGGCATCAACTCTCTTTCTGTCATCCTAGTCATTGTCCAGTTTTCTGACGCATAGCAATTAATTGCGAAGACTATGGCCTGGATACATAGGGAGACACAGAAGAATTTCATGAAACAACATATGAGCAAGAGCCTATGGTGATGAAAGAAGAAGTTCAGGCTGCTTTGAAGGACATGGCAAAATATAA